TTTATGCGAGTTTTACTTGTTCCCAGAGTCACAATCTGACACTTTTTTTTTTCAATTGAATCACATTCTTGAATTCTCATTCCAAATTAAAAAACGTTCTCGTAAAAAGTTCACATGGAGTGACATGGAGTTCCAACAGACGAATCTGACACAAATGGCACTCCAATATTCGTTTTGAATCGGACGCGATATAAAATATGTTTTCGTATTCTTGTGTGCGATATATAAATACGTGACCACGTACACACAAGTTGTAACGTTTTAGTACATGTCAGTCAATCAAAATTTGCCTGGATACGTTTCTATTAATTTCCATCTCAACGCTGACGAAGAATATGCGATGACACAGAGGATGCGATGCCGCATCTCATTGGCGAGGTAATAAATTTTATGCGCCACTAATCGTTAATCGTTGTCTGAGGTTTTATTGAGATTAATACGTTGGCTTGGAACAGTTATAAATTGTCCAGAAATCATTCGACTCTTCGTGGTCTTTCTTGCCATTTTTACCTGATTATATATATATAATTTTCTAGTATCACATACGATTTATTATTAGCTATTTATAGAATATTTTTTATTAACATTTATTTTCCGACATCGAAAAAGTTGATAAACTATTTATCGATCAACTGAATAAAAGTTGTGAGTTTTCACTTTCATTCATAATATAATATGTGCGGTTACAGGCCAGGCACGTGTATTTTATAGCAGATTATGGATTCACTCGATACTTTCTCGCATCCGCACTATGAAACGTGACCAACAGATTTATTGTTAAAAATTTAAATTAATTTACGTCACATCGCGTAAATATTTTTCGTGTTACTTTTATTAGTCAAGAGGATATCTTCGTACCAAGTTCACATGCAACGAAGTTGCGTAGACGCTCGTAACTATATTTATTATACCTAGATACGTAAACTGCCGAGATAAGTGGAGTTGACATTTCATATCTCGGCCATATAATGTAGGAATATATCATGATTTCAGTAACAGCTGAATCATTTAAGTTTTAACTAGCTGACATTTAAGTTGTATCGGAAGTGTTTTAAATTTTCATTCTGTGCCCTACGAACGGAGATATTAAGATATTAATAATAATATAACAATACAAAATTCATTATATAAATTTTAAGAAACATCCGATAAAAAAAACTTTTTATACGAATATACAGAATGTTCCAAATTGATGATAAATATTTTAAAGACAGATTCTTTGTAACATTTTTTTAAGATAAAAAGTCTAATATGCAGTGGCTGTGATAGTTTTTAAATAGGAAGAATTTAATGTGATCAATATAACACTCTGTATCTTCTCTCTCTCTCTCTCTTCTAAACCAATTGATCGAATTTAAAAAATTAAACACGTAGGAATGTAGGGAATTGAAAGACTTTTCTAATGATGTACCGCTTGATCCCCTCCTCCCTTTCAATTTGAAATTTTTTAGGGATTGACAACTCCTGCTTAGGAGATTAAAGAGGGTAATAATTATACATCAAAAAATATCCCCTTTCCAACATAAATCGACCTGTTTTTACGTTCTTTCGAAAAATCATTTTTGTCGGAGTTATTCAGTCTGTTTCGTTTTCGATAAGCTACGAATAGGTATATAATATTATGCATTTTTGTGTAACATACATATATACATATATCTGATATATGTATATATTTTATCTTCGTAAATAAATCATTTCATGAAAAGTTGAAACTAAAAGTTATTTATGTCCGTGCATTCTCTTTTTCTCTTTTTCTATTATTTCGCTCTTCTCTTTAATTCGACATTTGTCTGATCTCTACGTGACAATAATAAACTCCGCATCGCACATAATGCTTTTAACCGCCCATGAATGTCGCAATTAGACGTTGATTGCCCAGTCTGGTGTCACAACCGCGACCAATCGTTTCTATTTTCTTTTCTCTTTCGTTCATTGTTTTTACGAATAGCTATCGATATGCTTTTTCCGCTAAAAATTATTTCACTTAATGCAATTTTTCGATCGTGCCACTGTTGATTGGAATATTCGATGATTTTCATTCACTGGGTAACTTTGAATAACAAAGGATTTACAATTGTACGTTATTGATATGGATCACACACATACTATTTATTAGATAGATATAAAGGCTTATATTTCTTTCTCTTTCTTTAAAAAAAATATACAAGTTTATACAAAAACCTTTATTCTGTCTAATTTTTACAATTTATTCTAATTTTACTATTTCGTCTGTTTTTTTTATCTAATTTGATTAAATTTTACAAGAAATTAAATCAAAATTGAACGTCTTAATCAGAAAATTTTAATCATATTATAATAATTAAAAAAAATATTTTGTATTTTCGGAATCATTTACATTTTTAGTATATGACTAACAATATTCATTGACAAACCGATTTAACAATCAAATGCAAAATTTTTTATCCTTTATAAGCTTTGTATTAAAATTAAATGAAGTATCAGGATTATCGAAATTTTAATTACATTACTGAGGAATTAAATATTACAAAATGTTTTTTAATGTATGTGTGAGTTTTACTCTATCTCATTTATATTCTTCCCGATAAAATTTAAATACCTAATAAAACTATTCACGATGTTACATACATAGATAATATTACGTAATAATACAATAATCTGGACGTAAGAGAAAATCGACATTTTCTTTCTCTCTCTCTCTCTCTCTCTCTCTCTCTCTCTCTCTCTCTCTCTCTCTAAAAAGCAAGATTTTAATTAATTATTAAATTTAACTGACATTGTTCTACAAAAAGCTGGGAAATTCTCCAACCGTCATTCAAAAATTATTTGTGAAATAAATAGTTTGTTCTCAATCGTTCAATCTCAAAGTCCATAGTTAAACACATTATTACGATTGTCAAACAAAATTTTGCATTTTCTTCTGCATGAAACTTGGAAAAGGGCTGAATGGAAAAGCTTTCTATGAATTTATATTTATTATACGACGCGGAGTTAAGCATATACGTGTTTTACATTGGATAAGTGATTTAATTTCTTATGCCTTCTCATTAAAAATTCACAACTCATTTTCTGAACTAAATTCCGATTGCGTGGGCACGATTTTCTATGACATGTTGCAGACGTAATGAAAGGAAAGAAAAGTGTTCCAGCGATCCTTTGGGAAATCGATCGAAATGAATAAACTAGGAAGGAACTAATGAATGTGTGTGTAGGCGTGCATGCTGCAATGAAATATTATATTACAAGACGATGATTGTTTACTTTAACAAACTGCGATAGAACGTATAGAGTACAGATTTCTATGTAGCAATCTCGGTGTTTGGTTTCGTGCAATGCAGTAAAATTTCGAACAAGAAATTGCAATAAATATTTGAAGAATACATATACGTGTATAAAATATCCTAGATTTCCCATGCTTCCTCCTTTATGAGTATTTTTTTAGTCCAAATTACTTTGGCAATTCCAAAGTCCTGTGTAGGTACATCACTGTAAATAAAATGTATTTTTTTTCTCTGGCGTCAAACCACGGAAGAGGAGATTTAACTTGTTGCAAGCGAGAAAATGTTGCGGGTATCGGACTTGTCTCTAAAACTGTCCAATTAATAAATGACACCTACGCACGAGCTAACTAAATCTGTTCCGTCACAAGTTTCAGAGAGCCTGATATAGTAATATAGATAATCCAATTGACTCTTCTCCTAAATGCTTCGTTACAATAATCGAGAAATTGTAATCTTGTTACAAAAATATGGAATCAAGCGTGCAAAGTGATAACGGCTTAATTTGATTTTGTAACGCTTGACCAATATGCTTCAATCAAGCAAATATTATTTGTAATCGTTGCAAAGAAACTGCAAATGCATCCGCAACAATTAAATGTCATTTTATAGCGCAACATTGGAGAGAAAGCAACCGGCCAGTGAATAGAACGTGCAAAGAAAAAGATATATACTATAAAATAGTCGAGTAAAGAAAAAATTTGTTTATTTGCATCAAAATTATCTTTGTATAAATATTATAGAATTTCATGACGTCATTATAAAATATGCGGTATCAAATTAAATCTTTCGAAAAGGATTTGATTTTAAACATATCGAGAATGAATTACCAGTATATAACCTTTTCCTTCTTTGACGCATATATCTTTTGTGAAAAAAATATAAAATAATGGATTCAATTTTTTTTTAAATCTTGACAATGTCGTAATTTTAATCAGAATATAATTTTGATAATGACTGTTACATATATATATATATATATATATATATATATATGTATACATGTATATTAACGATACAGAAATTCGTAACGTCGATTCTTTCTTACTCTGGTTATTCTTTTACTTTATCCCTAAAAGGTAAAGAGCACCGGGGCGTATCTTTAATCTAGATTCTCTTGAACGCTCATTATTTTTATCGTCGATTTATCTTTCATCCTAGTATAAATTTCCAGAACAAAGAAATTGTCCATTTCATGACGCACAGATACAGTTTTATTCCTATATATTTCTTTCTCTTGACTCTGAAGACGTCGCGATTCCTAATTAGATATTTCAGTAAAATCCTTAATTAATAAAGAAATTACATTATTTAAAAATAAATTAATTATGTTAGATATAAATAAAGAAAAACATGAACTTTTTGAACAAACAGTGAGAAAGAGAGAAAAAATGAGATTAAAAAACTTACTTCTACACAAATTATTTTTCTTTAAAATTTAAAAAATGGAAAACTGAATTATAATGTATTGTAAAAAACATTGGAGGGGATTATTAAAAATAATTTATATATATATATATATATTTCAATTTATCCAATTTTCTCAAAATATATCACATAATTTTTGAAAAATATTGTTATTTTCTCTTAAATAAAATTATATTTTTTTTGCAAAAAACAAAAAATGTGAATTAAGATTTTCTATCTAAAACATGAATCATAAAGATTTTGTTAGTTATAACATAAAAACTTAATTTGTTATATAATAATCATTTTAATCCTTTTACCCTTATTTTATTGCAGGTAGTGCCAAAAAGAGCAGCTCTATTATTCGATCGATTAATGGTAGCTCTACAGAATGTTGTCGATAATCGGGGAAAAGGTTCAGTTGGAAGCAAAAATTCAATTGGAAGTAATAGTTTATCTAGAAACAAAGTTTCAATTGGAAGTACAGGTATAAGCGAGCCACCAGAACATCATTTCCAAGCCATCAACTCGGAAATCATTCCTATAGTGGATGACGAAACGGTAGCGAATTCGGTATTAATTCTTATTCGCAAAGATCTTACAATTAATGCAATAGTTTGTGCCACATTGTAAGGCAATCATATATTTTTTTTTATTTCTCGAATTCTTATTATAATTTTACACATTCCTGCAAATAATATTATTTACTATAATACTTGTTTTTATTTTAGTAATAAAAAAAAAATATAATAAAATTATTATATTAGGTGAAATAAATAATAGAAAAAAAATGATATGAGAGATCAAGACAGTATGACGAATTAATAAAAAAAAGTCAGAAATATATTCGTGCGTGCGTGCGTGTGCGTTTGAGTGTGTGTGTGTGTATCATCATTAAAATTTAATTCTAATACTTATAGCTGTAAAAAAATTTAATGAATGCATCACATCCACGTTTTTCCTCCTTTTCAGATGGATCTGCAACGGCGCGGACTAGTCCAGAGTAAGCTGTTCTGGCACTGTTACTTTAATACCCTCGCATGCTTTAAGAAGAAGTGATAACGACCACATCGCCGTCAGTTCTCCTCAACCCCTAAAGATCGAAAAAGAGTGCGCGAAACTTCGTATCATTTCCTCGACTTGACTGTAACAGCACGACGAGCTGTGCTTTCCTGGCTAGAATGTCAAGAAAACAAATGAAGAATCAGGAACGTACAGTAGCACAATGTCCGCATGAACGTACTTCGAACGTCGAGTTGATTCTCCTTTAATTTTTATTTTTTTGGCGCGCTAAATTCAGTAAACATCTACTAAAAATAACGTACTATCAATGTCATAATTTCACACTCAACAATGTAACTGTTATGTAACATATGTGTTATACTATATTTATATCGTAGAGTATGAATTATAACATTGTTATGTATCTGTTAATTAATGTTTACTGGGAAGGGATACCTTTACCGTTCTTTTCAGCAACTATATCGTTACATATCATTGCCTCATCTTCTCCATCACGGATCATGCAACATGTCGGGAATCTATACTTTTCCTATTGCTTATAAAGTAACGATTGAAGACCTATCCATTAAATCTCTCTTCAAGCATATCAACCAAAATGAAATAATTTGTTATAAACCTAAAGTATATAAGGTTCTTCGATTTCGGTTTCCGTTTTTGCGATTTACTTCTAGATATATCTTTGTTCTCTCTATTACATTATTCTTTGTCTTTGATGATATTCGATGAACGTGTTTGAAAAATACATACAATTTTTATAATATCTTGTTGCTGATGTTTACGTAAACTGTGAAGATTTAAAGTAGGAACTCTTGTATCGTTATTTCTTTTCTTTTTATAATTACGTAATACTAAAGAAACTAAAAGGTATTTAATGGTATACTTTTATTTGTCATACTGAAAACAACATTCTTAGTAATATAATATCCTGTAAAAATCAAGAAATGCAAAAATTTAAATAATACTGATTGTATTATTAATTCTTTTTTCTTTTAATACTATTATACGTTTCTTCCAAAAATTTTTCAATCAGTTTAGAGACCACTAAGTTCTGAATCTATTTAATTTTTAATCTCTCTCTCTCTCTCTCTCTCTCTCTCTCTCTCTCTCTCTGTCTCTCTCTATTATATACTACATATACTTTACATGATGGTATGTAAATGTTACAGAAAATCATTTAAACGAATTTTTTTAAATATATTACATAAATAATAAAAAAGAATCGATTAAAGACGAGCAAAACAGACATTAGAATAATTAATATTTATTGTTTTTAATAAAAAAATACATTTAGATTAACACTAACTTCATCAGTTGCAAATATCATACTAATAAGAAAAAATAATTGAGAAAGATTTCGAAAATCATTCGTTATTTGATGAAATTTTGTATGTTTAAAGTTTTATCAAAGTAACTTTGACGACTTTCGAAATTTTCAAGGTTTTCGTCTTGAATTTGTCTAAGAAATCACTCCTTAAAATCTTTTTTAGAGTTACTTAGTATTCTCTCTATATACATATGTACGTTATTATATACATACAATGGAAGAACATGCAAATATGCTTAGCGTTTTTTTACTGTTTTTTAAATGGTACATTCGTTTCATTTCATCGCCTTCGATAGCCTTTCAAGACACAATATTAATTCGCAATGCTTAGTATGAGGAAACATGTCAACCGCAATAGCCTTTACCGGTACCAAGGGTTCACCAAGATATTGCTTGGAACTAGGTCGTGCTAAATCAATTAAATTTCTCATGGCAGCACGAGGGTCACACGATATGTACACCAATCTGTTTAATTTTTTTGACTTACGCAGTGTTAGTAGAGCCTTTTGATCTAAAAAAAGCAATATACAGGTAAGTTATTTCCTCATAATATCAACGGTGTGGATATTATTGCAATGTAACATACGCAAGCCAGCTCGTGGAGGATCCACAATGGCAATGATATTGGATTTCGTTGTCCTCTGAATAACAGGCAACAAAATGTCCTCTGCCTTCCCAACAAAAAATTCGCAATTCTTAATGTCATTCTTGACAGCGTTTTCCTTCGCGTCTTGTATAGCATCAGGGATAATTTCCACTCCTAATACTTCGCCGCAATACTACAACAATGAACATCATATTTATAATAATACTTTTTTTGAAAATAATATAGAAATAATTAATGGCTTGAATTTATCATACCTTCGAAAAACAGAGACCTATAGTTCCAGTACCACAACATACATCAAGTAGCGCCGTATCCATCGTGGGTTCAGCAAGATCGATTGCTGCCTTGTATAGGACTTCTGCTCCTAATGTATTAACTTGAAAAAATGCTTGAGGCGAAACTCGAAACTTCATTCCGAGTAACGTTTCTTCTATATATTCTGTTCCACTAATATGGTACAAGGTATCGCTACTTTCACCACCTATACTTCTGTAAATTAAAAATACATGAATAAAAAATATATATACTGTGCTATTCTTATATAATATACTTACTTCTTATCTATTGTTTGAAAATACAATGAAGTAACATGAGCATCAGCACCTTTTCCAGTTTCGAAAAATATTTTTAGCTGTGATTTTAAGGTGTCTAATTCATTGTTACTTAGGTTCTGAGGATGTATTCCTATTATCAACATCAAATGATTGGCACGAGTGGTTCGAGCAGTAACTTGTCTCCAATAACCACTATGATCAACTGGATTAAACGGCTCTAAGTTTGATTCACGTACAAATGTTTCCAATATCTGAAATATAAAATACACATTTGTTTTTAAATCCTGAGTTTATCTTTATCTGTATCACATCTAAAAACAATTGACAATTAAATTTTACCTTTATAGCAATTTTCATATTTTCTGGAATGTGACAAAGATCATCAATTGGTCCCACTGCTGTGGAACCTGAAGCATAAGTTGACAGTCTGAAACCAATCATGATTTTGCTCTGGTCGCTGTCTTTACCTGTACCATAAGAAAAGAAAATATAAATAAGGAACTTGGTTAAATTTTTATACCATCATATAAATCTATAAGAAATAATCACCAACTGTAAATTCGCATTTATTTCTATATGCTTCAGTAACATCCACTGAAAGAATATTTTGTAGTTTGCATGGTAATCCATCGTATAATTTTTTTTGGGAATTTAGCCATTCTGTCAACATTTTACTTTCTGTAAGCATTTGCTGACCAATTTTTATTAAGATGGATTTCATCTCCTTCTGCTTGAATTCCAGCTAAAAATGTATAAGAAATTTAATAATAATAAGTGTAAAAATCAAACAAGAAATATTCAATACAAATAAGCAAAGAAGGCCATATTCAGTCAGAATGTAATCTTGGTCTAATAATACTTAGAGATTTAAAGATTTTTTAACAAGAACATAGTAAAATTCCTTACTTGATCTGGATATGGCATGTTCCACAAAGGAGTAGTGATAAATTTGATTCTATCCATAGGCGAACAATTCTCATTGTCAGTCTTGAAACGTTTGTTGCTGGACTCTTCTTCTAGTTTTTTTTTCACAAAAGGATCTGGAGCTGGTTTAGCTACCTGTGTCAAAAAAAAGCAACATCTAAAATTATACATTTAATTTTAGAAATAGCATTTATGAAAGACTAAAAATACCTGTGCGGTAAGTTTGTTGTTTTTCCACAAAATCCCATTTATAGAGGTTATAGCTCGTTGACGACACTCCTCACTTCTGAAACATACATACAACCAACTGCTGCCTTTCCTGGGTGGCTTTACTTTGCATGACTGTAAATCTAGTTTGTCGTTTAGAAGCTTTTTGAATTCACCAATTCCATAGTATTTTGGTAAACCGCGCACTTCTATTTTGTACTTCTCAGAAGTGAAATGATCTCTATCGAGATAAGCATATGGATTTTTCTCGTTCTCGTTAACATTGGATGTTAATGGGTCCATAGCATTTGTGTCAGCAGAGAGAAACCCCGAAGCAGTCATCTCGGCCTTTTTCATGAGATCATCTAACAATTTCCATTCGATCCTAACAGAAAGAAGTAATCGCGGAGTACCGGAATCAGAATTACAGATTACTGAGGAGTTTTTGTCGTGTATCGCCGGATGGTGATAAATGAGTGCCCTCAACTTATCCTTTCAAATTATATGACACATATACTTCTTAAATCATAAACTCATATACAAATAAAATTTTGACGCTTTATTGGTGGAAAAGTGATATCTTTTGACGGTAGCTAACTTTTTTTTTATTGTACATACATTTGTCTGAATTCTGAAAGGCCACGAGAGAGCCTGGGGTGCAAAAATGTATAAATCCGTCACTGTTCTTTCCTTTAAGTTCGATCGGCGCACGCGCAATTGTAACATCGCTTATACACGTTTCAGACGTCCCTTCCCTTCTGTCCCTTCATTTCTATTCCAGACGCGGAACATTACGGAACTTTCAAGTTTCCTTGCGTACTGAAATAATGTGTGCTAGTATCATTCAAGATTCATTATAGTGTCAACGAGAAACATTATAATGCGATAATCATGGGAAACTGCAATCTCTGTATGTACCATGCTTAACGAGAGTATCATGAAGATTACGTTATAAGATATTGTGAAGACTTATTTTGGATTACATCGAAATCCTAAATTAGTAAGCTGTCATAACTATTGATGCAATGTTTATTTGCACTATACATACACTTAAAACTCACTATATCGTATAAAATGTGCGTTTATATGTATATATAATATGTATAGTATGTTCTTTTCATTAATTTATTAACGTTAAATTGCCGAAACATAAATACACCTTAAGTGGATATTTTATTAAATGATAATAATATTATACGATATGATAATGAATCTTTTTTATTCTCAAGACGAACTAATTTTACAAACCTGATAAAAAAATGTATAATAATGTAATGAAACAATAACATTTTTCTTATTTACTAGTATTATATTAATCTTTATTATATATTTTTGTATTTCACATGATTCCATAAAATATATTCTAATAAATTTCGTAAAAATTTATTTATTTTTATATGTATATGGGTGATTTTTTTTAACCCCTGGAAGGTTTATTATTTTTTGATTTTTTTTTAAACTGACATATAACATTTTTCCCTATAGTCTCTAATATTGTTTATACTCCGTGAAGATGTTCTTTAGGAAAATACAGCGACCCATTTTTTCCCTTTAAAACAAACTGTCTAGCCGTGGTATTAATTTCAATTTTTGACATTTTAAAAACATCAATTTTTTATTCGGAATTTTTCTACCCGATAGTAATTAATAAATATTTAAAAAATTATATAACAGCTTTTTACGTAAAAAATTCTCAGATTTTCTCAATAAAAATAATCTCGATTGATTTAAATTTAGGAAAAATACTAAAAATCATGAATTTTCGAAAGAAATGTATTTTCCTTATGAGCCTAGACATTTACATTAAAATACATATTTTTTTTTTAAAGCTGTGAGATTTTTACATAAGAAATTACTAAAAATCTATAAATTTCAGGCAAAAATATTTGAGATAAAATTTGGTTTTGAGGGGGAAAAAATTAGTAATCTCTTGATTGACTTTGAAAAGATGCCTTTAAAATCAAGTCAAAAGTATATTTAAAATTGTTTAAATGGAATATTCGTCATTATTACATATTTTTAATTGATTTTAACATCTTTTGAAAACACTATAATAAAGTTCATTTTTATTAAATTATGAGATATTGATCCATCGCGTTATTTTCACAGTATTGCATATTGCTGTCGGGGTCATGGAAGGGGGGGGGGAGGCATCTTACAATTAGAAGTTTTATAGAGTCAACTGAAAAATTCTAATCAAATCCGTATAGATAATTAAATCGAACAAACGTTCTAGTTATAAAATTTCGAATTTTATCACGATGATTATAAATTTTGTTTGATCTCTTTTATCAAAATGTAATCATCATAGGGTAGCTCAGGGGAAGATGCTATAGTTAACTTTTGATCACAATATCTTTTTAATTATTATTGATTAATAAAAAAAATAAAACAAATTGAAAGTTTAATTTATATATTTATTATAGTTTCTATCGTGATTTTAATACGAACGAATAAAATAAATCGTGTAGCACGGATTAAAGTTAATGAGCTATTTATTTTAATTATGAGTATTTGAAGAAATACTATATTAACTTGCACTTTTTTTTAACTTAATATACAAATATTCGAGTGTAAACAAATATATAATAGATTTAAAGGCCCTGGTGGTTCAGAAATATTTTATTTAACATGACGTACGCTTTCTTCATGAAAACCTAGTATTTATCATTTACGATTGTTGAATATTATTATGTTCTGTTACTCAGCGTACAGAATAAAGTACCATAAAGTATGATAATGATCTGCTGATGAGCTGCAATAGAATGTATAAAAGAGTATAAAATTTTATACACATTCCCTACGTAAGTTGTATAATTTACCGCAGCAAAACCTTCCAAAGACGGTATGAATAGTCCAAAACAAATCGTCAATGTGCAAGTCTTCATACTTTGATACGTTATCATTATGAGGCTTTTTTGCGTGTTCAATGGAGTCGCGTACCATCGGCTGTTGTATCTATGATACCATAAATTAATTTGTATTAAATTAATCTGCTATCTATAATTACATAAATTTGTATGTGTTTAACTGAAATCTATATTATCTTTTTTACACTCACATTTTTTTAAATATATTGTTGCTATGATCTATTATTTCCTGACCAATGTAGTTACAAAAAAACATATAGCAAAAATGTGTGACAACGTATAAAAATGATATGCTCGTACCGTAAATATCTTCTGCTATAAGATACTCGCAAAGCTATGAAACTTAGAACTTCTTAAAAATTGTTACATGATACAATTACATCATTAAATAATACAATTAGATGTTTTACAAACTTACAAGATATAAATTAATACTTAACGATACCACGCCCACTGGACTGCCAAAAACATGGGCAACTGAATAAGTAGATTTGACAGAATCGATGAACCTTGAATAATGATTATCACTAATACAATACGTAAAGCATAATTTCTTGTATTTTTGAAAAATATCTTGTGTGTGGACAGAATTTTATAAATTGCAAATTTTACACTAACTCGATAGCGTTTCGATGACTATTGACAGCCTCCACAATGCTTTTATGATTAATAAATTTTTCCAGAGAAACTAACGAATTTGTCTGTCTTCTGTTCACGATACATTCAATTCTGTAACTATAAATAATTGAATTGTTATATGATATCGAATTAATATATTTATAGTTCTTTTGTTAAAGCATTTAAAAATTCATTCATTACCTAGTGATTTGAAACATTGCACATGTGTGTTGTGCATACATTTGTAAAAGTGTTTCTATGGTTACTGTGATAGTAATACTGATAATGATTATTAGGAAAAAATACAATGTTGACAATTCGATATATTTCTCCCTATCGATAAAAAATTCCATCGAGACCGGAAGTTGTCGTAATTTCCGTGATTTGTTCAATGGCATCACGACATTAAGAATATTTGGTGAAAAAAACATTAATATAAAGAGAAAGAATATTGTGTATATCCATACTGTAATAATACGATATTATAATTCTTATTTTAATTTTAATTTCGTGATTGCACTACAATTGAGAATATTTTGCAAGTTAATTCTATTACTCACGTAACATAATGATTGTACAGGATCTTCCAATGTTAGCGCGATTTTGTATGATTTTAAGTTCCTCTTTCTTTTTTAGTGAATTCCAATCATACTGCACTTGTTCTATAAGCTTTTTCACCTAGAAAAAGATATTATAATGATATATTTAATGATGAATTTGATTGGATACACTAGTGCAAACTGTATATTAAGTACTGTATATAAAGCCGTTGTACATCTATTTAATTTGAGTGTAAAAGTAAAATGCATATATTTTTAATTATAAAATATATATTTTACCTAACAACACGATAAAGTGTATTAAGGATTTCCGATTTTTAGGTTTTTTAATAAATATATCTTTACGTCAATTTGTGTACGACAGCTTTAATGTGTACCAGTGCGCACTGAGTACGTCCAATCGAATTAGCTGCTAATGACATATAAGGAAAAGCTATTTAACTTTTCCAAACGTACTTCACAGTTATATAATTTAATTCAATTATAATTATAAAATTCAATTATATTGTCTATAAACTTACTTTATTGCCATTAATAAGCATAACAAGATATTTAAGTGTAAAAAATATTGTAGGTACAATGGACGATAAAACATTTAAAAGAAGATCTACGGTATATTCCTTAGTTATAAACGATGATAACTAAAATTATACATATATCGTTCATCTACAGAATTTATATAAATATTTGTATAATGTACATGATAATAATTGTATAATGGTCTAATATCTAATATTGTATTTGATGCAAATAAGTTCTAAAATTTTGAGATACTTATTACAAATTAATAATAGATATTATAAAAATAATAATATAAATTCGCGAATTCATAAAAACTTATATCGTATTTTTAAAAAAAGATTACTGGCAAATACATAATAAAATAAAAAAATAGTGTGTACATTATATATGATAATAAATTATTAATCACAAAATAATTAACATTATGGAAATAAATAACTAGTTATAAACAAATATCGAACCCGGATAGACGACGAACCTGAAAAAAGATATTAGACAAAAGAAGGAGAAATAAAAATATGCAATAAATGTATTTCGCACGTTGTGTATAATATGGCCATAGACCAATGCACGTTAACAGTATTCGATTGATTCTATAGTAACGACTCCCAACAAAGACCATGTTTACACGACACTGAAATACTGTTCTGCCGATGACTTATATGAAAATTCTCATTTTAACTAATGTCTATAGATACCGTGTGATATATTTCTTTTTATAAAACGAATAATAAGCGAACTATAGACGATATTAAATATGATCTGTACAAAAGAAATAAAATAGATACTATTAGGAAATTATAAAAGAGACTATTTTTTGTCATTAAATGTATATCATAGAAAAATGGAAGGAAATAGTTTAGTGAATTATAAATAATTCATTTTCGCTAATGGTAGTGAAATATGATGGGAATAATAATAATGTGCACAATTTTCTTCATATGTTTTTACGCAGATACTTTACATTCATCTTCCATCGCCAAATTTTTTCTTATTTCTTCATGAAGCCGGTAGTGTTAGTCATCTTCCTTGTAATAATAGAAAAACTTATATAATATTATTGTGAGTATAATAGAAATCGAGATGATAATCATTGCGACATAATTATCATATTCAAAAAAACCAAAATTGAAAAGTGATGTCGATAACTCAACTTATATTTTTAATTTATTTTATACATACTAATGATGACATTTTAATAGATATTAATTGTATTTGTATTATTATATTTCTAGATAAAATGTATGATATAAGTATATCATATATTGTATGATATACATAAGTATATATAATATAAGTACAGTAGAACTGTTTGCATCATGAGGTTTTCAGCATCGTTTTTTAATTTATACAGATGATTAAAAGAGGGAAAAAATTATCGCAAAATATGAAATTGACATGCTTGCAAGCTAAAATATAATTATGTTATAGCAAATCTAAAGTAAAAATATTCAATAATAAATTATTATTAGTATCAAAATTTTACCGTGGCAAATCCCTCAAACGATGAAATGAATAAACAATCCACGACAATTGTACAATGTCGCATACTTCTTTGCATCACAAGTAGTAATAATTTCTGCGCTTTTAACGGAGCTATGTACCATTGTACGTTGTATCTAAAAGTTTACTATTAGAAAATTATAAACAAAAAGCTTCGATAAATGATAGGTTAAACTGTTTTTAATTCTTTATTCTAATTGTCTAATAAACTGTTCGTTTTATTTATACTTAATAGTCTCACATAAGTATAAGCAAAACAAACAGTCTAAATAATAAAAGAATTTCTAAAATCATATTGAAATAATCAATTAAGCGTTAATGCACATGTTACGTACATTCTGTGAAAAACGTCGCTGCTATGGTCGATTACTTTTTGTCCCATATAATTACAGTAAAACATATACCAAAAATGACCAACAACGAACAGAAAACTAACAATCACTTCAAAATATTCCTTGGATGCTATCAACCGAGAAAGCTATACAGTACGAAAATGATTAATTTACTCCAACAAAGAAGAAACATAGATAAAATATCTAATTAAGATATACATACCATACATGATATATGTAATATCAAATAATGAACATTAATTATTACTTACACGGTAAAGATTAATGCTCAATGATAGTACTCCTAATGGCAATAATAATGAATACGCCCATATATGGCTTTTTTTCAATATTTCAATAAATCTAAATAACAGTAAATTTTAACTAATGTGAAAAATATTCATATATGTATATGTATGTACACATACCATATATACACACGCTCACGCGGGACTAGGAACAAAAGTAACATTTTTTTAACTTTGAAGTGTTATAGCAGTTAAAATATAATATGTTAATATGTATTTATATTAAACAAGTATATATCTTTAGATGTAGAATTTATTTATTTACAAAATTTTCTTTGATTCAATTGTTCAATGTACAACTAGAAAAGTGCCAATGTCCAACTAGAAAAAAGTTATGTTTGTTTAAAGACTATGAGGAATTTTGTTACAACCGTCCCAATTTCTGGGACGATTGTTACAGTAGAGGAAGACAATTGTACTACATTATTTATAAATAAAATAATGGTTATTTTATTGATTTTATTAATAAAACTGTATAATTATGAATATTTATTATATATGTTATCATATGTATTTACTATATGTAGGTACTATGTTATATTTAATAATAATAAAATTTATGAAAAAGACAAAACGAAAAAAATATTCTCTCTCTAATAAGTATAAAATTGAAATATAAAGGAACAGTGTATAAAAATAATATTGTACAAAACAATACTAAAATGAAATCAGTAAGTTCGGAGACAATTGTAAACAACCGACCCCACAGGCATCGATGTTGCTACATTGTAAAAAATATAAAATGTTAATTTTATTTTTTAATTTAATTAACATTTTTGTATTAATGTTAACATTTTTGCATGTCTCAGAAAATCCACTCAACGTCTTTGAGTTAAAATTAACATTTAAAATTAACAGAGTAAATTTTTTAAATAAAAACCTAGATAAAAATCAATTAAAATGTGAAAAACATCAACACGGATAATTATTAAAATATATTAAAGATAATACATTATACTTTTGTTATAAAGAAAAAAATTTGTTAATTTTGTGCACTCAATAAAAGTTATTTGATATATGGAAAAAATAATTTCTGTTTCTGCACTCGTGTACGTTTCGCGAAAATCAGCACGTAACGAACGATTCAATCCCTGGTATCTGTTTATAGAATTTTACCACGCGACTACGTACATATATCTGTTATAGTTTAAGAAATATTAACGATGTTACTATTGTATCCTGTTACTTTTGTCTCTGGTCTCCCTTATATATTATATAAATAACTATGAATAATACTTTATTATATGTTAATTTATCCAATTTATATTTGTTAGTTACAAATAATTTATACTTTTTGTAAAATTTCGTAAGTCTATTTATACTTGATGGAATCAAGATGGATTAGAAGATTTAAAGGAAAATGACAATGCACAATAAAAAAAAATTTTTAATTGTATGTATCATACATATGATAATTACGAACTCGATTGCTTTTTTATACATATTGAATCCACTGATTACCCCTCGACATATTATCGAGCTTCTTTCGGAAGAAGATGCAATATTTTGTATCGTATCTTTGAGCAATGTTTGTTCTATGCGATAGCTAAAAGTGATAACGTTATTGCAACATGTTTTTGTATAAACACTGTTAAAATTAATTTAATTTCTTGAAAAACTTAACTTTGCTTTACACACCTAGCTATTTCAAATAAACCGCACGCATGATGTGTGTAAGACATATGAATTGTTTCGGTAGCTACCACTGTAGTGAAACCGCATACGACAGCCAAACACATTATAATTAAGATTAAACAAAAATTTTTTTGTTGATCCATAAAACATTCAATTAGGACTGGCAACTGTCGTGGATGGGATTCATTTTTATCAAATGTGATATTAAAAAAAAAGTTTGATAGATACTGTATCAGAATGAAGCAAAAAATAGATATATAGATAAACACTGTAATTAAACAATTAACACATGAATTAAAGTGATCGAAGTACAAAATAAATATTCAAAATATTGCTTACATGTTGTAATTATTGTGATGAATCTTCCAATATTTGCATATTTTTTTATTATTTCAATTTCTCGTAAATTGTTTAATTCATTCCAATCACAAATTATTCGTTTCATAAGATCTTGTACCTGTATTTATAAAATATATAACTGTTATTTATATTATTCTTTTTCCACAAAAAATTCTTAAATATAATTGATTATTATTATTATTTCCTTTTCCTGTAAGTTTTTTTATAAGTTTGATTCCTGATACTTTTACCCGTTTTATGTTTAGGCAAAGAACATTATATTTTAACGTATAGCCTAGCCATGGAACGGCGTACGCTAAGACATGTAGAAGAATATCTATATTGTATTCTGTCGTGATGAAAGTTGTTAGCTAAAAGTGACATTCTCTGCTATATTATTTCTACTTTTACATTACAAAATTAGTTTAGAGGAAAATCTTTTTTTTAATTATGGACCAAACAAGATGTTTCTTCCAGATTTCTGAATACCGAAAGAAATATAATGCTAGACAAATTTTACCAGTACGTCAAGTTTCTAAAATATTATAATTGAGATGTAATGTGCTAAAAATAACTTTTTTTTATGTTATTTGCCATTTTTTATAAATACAAATGTTATCTTGTTATTCTAATCAAAAGAGATGAATGTATTTATTTCTCACAAAATGCATTTAAACAAATATTTTTTAATATGTTTTTTTTTAGTATCTTACTTTTTAATCTACATTTTTTTTTAACTTTACTTTTTAATATTAAGCTTTTTTTTATATAAAAAAAGTCATTTTTTAATACTTGTTTATATATAAACCTCAATTATTTTATAAACCTAATATGCTGGTAAAATTCAGTTTGCGCCATCATTTTTAACATCTAAAAACCTATAAAAACACCCTGTCTGATTTAAAGCATTTTTTACTATAAACTAGTATAATTATTTTAATTAAAATATATCAAAAAGTTATTCAAAATAAAAAACATAAATATAAAACTTTGATTTAAATATTACTAAATTTATTAGAATTTTTGTCACAATTTAACGTATGTACAAAAAAAGAATATCCTCTTTTTGATGACAGTAATTATGCAGTAATGTCTTTTAGTGTACCTTGTTTTACTCATTTTTATGTTAAATAGTGTTCAAGAGAATTATTAAATTAAAGAAATTATTTACCTGGAATACCACAGACAATACAAGCATTATTGTTATAAACACTATTGCAATATATCTAAAAATAGATTTTTGATATGGCCATAATCCGATAGAAAGTAACAAACTTCGATTAATTGTATAGTAATCGTTCACCGGACAATCTTGCCATTTCAATGCAACTGTCATAACGTGTTTATTGCCGAATTTCTTTTCACAAATTATATCATACGTTCGGTCTGTTTGATTGTAGTTTATAATTCTCAATTTATATGCATTTAGATAAAATACTGCACTTATGTAAAAAATTACAATAGAGTACTTATTTTTACTATAATCATGTGAATTATAGTTTCGGAGCATATTTGGTTAGAGCATATCTGTATTTATAATCTTCGCGTGAACGCGATATTATTTGTATGCAATAAAGTTTTATTTGTGTGTATATTATATTTGATATTTCTCTCCTATGTTCGATCGGCGCAAGCGCAAATGTAACGTCGCTTTCACACGTTTCAGACGTCCCTCCATTTCTGTTCCAGACGCGGAGCATTACAGTACTTTCTTTGCGTATTGAAATGTGTGCTAGTATCATTTGAGATCAACGAGAAAGATTATAATCACAAGAAACTGCAATTTTTGTACCGTGCTTAACGAGCATTATGAAAATTACATTATATGTGCTGTGAAGACTTATTTTGGATTACATCGAAATCATAAATTAGTAAGCTATCGTAACTATTGATGCAATGCATTATTTGCACTGTAACATACACTTAAAACTCACTATATCGTATAAAATGTGCGTTTATATGTATTATATATATGTATATATTGCTCTTTTTAATAAATTAATTTATTAATGTTAAATTACCTATACATAAATATTTCTTAAGTGGATATTTTAAATGATGATAATAATTTTATCATACAATATAATAATAAATCCTTTTTATTCTCAAGACAAATTAATTTTACAAACCTGATAAAAAATGTATGATGTAATGAAGCAATAACATTTTTCCTATTTCAGAAACGTAGTTCGATTGTTAATGTTGCGTGTATTTTGTTGACTAGTGTTATATTAACCTTTAGTATATTATAATATATTTTTGCATTACGCATAGTTCCGTAAAATATATTTTAATAAATTCCGTAAAACTTTATTTTTAGTTATATTTATAATAAACGATAATGAACATAATTCAAATATAAACTTGGAAAGAAAAGGGCACTAGGAGTTAAGCGTAGATAACTTTACGCAAATGCTGATATGCAAACTTATTTATTATAATAATTATGCTAAAAGCATAACTTTTTATTATAATTTAAATAAATTACAATATTATAATAAATAAGTTTGCTTGATATATCAGCGTTTGCGTAAAGTTATCTGCGCTTAACTCCTAGTGCTCTTTTCTTTCCAAATTTATATTTGAATTGTACAAGAGTTTTTGTTATTTAAAAATTATTATACGTTTTAATGTAATCTTATAAATTGTTTTCGTGTATTTTATTAAATTATTATGTTAGCATTTGCTACAAGCATATAGGAATTATTGGATTATGACAAACTATGTGTGTTCGACTAATGATATTTAAATTTTATTTTACGAGCACGCTCATTGAATAGAATAAATTACCATGAAATACGAAAGTGACATGCTTGTAACCTAAAACGTGGAAATTGTATTTTTGATTATCTAAAGCTAAAATGTTTGGTAAATTATTATTAGTGTAAAGACTTTACCGTAGCGAATCCTTCTAACGACGGAATGAACAAGCCACCAACCATGAGCGTGCAATAACGCGTGGTTCTTTGCATTATAAACAATAATAACTTTTGCACTTTCAATGATGTCATGTACCATTGTACGTTGTATCTACGTAATTAGAAGAGTGTATAAATTTCAAGATTGAAACAAATTTAAAATAAAAACTGTTCTCTAGTATATTATGGTGCATATCTATTATATAATCTCACGTTTTATGAAAAATATCGCTGCTATGATTGATCACCTCTTGTCCCACATAGTTACAAAAGAACAAGTACCAAATATGGCCAAGAACAAACAGAACAGTTGTTATCAAATCCCCATATGCTTCAGTCGTTATTAGCCGAGAGAGCTACGATCACATAGACGATCGGTTTTACTTAATTTGTGACAAGTGCAGAACTTGTATCTACGAATACAATGGTATACGCAAGTGCTGTGTTTACAATATACTCAACTAAAATTTGTTAATTACTCGGCATCATTAATATTGGTAAGAATATATCTATATATAGTTACTCACGCGATAAAGATTAATGCTTAACGTTAGAACGGCGCATGGTATCGCAATGAAATACATCCACTCAAAATTCGCTTTTGTCATTTCGATAAATCTTGAATAAAGATATGAGCAGAATAAATTTACAATATAAATGACTAATGTCGATAATTACGCGTACATACGATTTATAAGATTCCTTGTACGTGAAATTTTTTAAATTATATATTAATATATAATTTAACTTTTATTGAGGAATGAATAATTTAAAGAAAAATTACGTTATAAAATAAAATTGTTTTTTGAATTAATAAGAATTACAGACTCGATTGCTTTCCTGTGTATATCAACCGCACTGATTATTTCTTGGCATATTATTAAGTTTTTTTCAGCAATAGATATTACGTCTCGTGCCATACCTTTATGCAAAGCTTGCTTTATACGACAGCTGAAAAATAAAATAATTTGTAAAGGTTATCAAAATAAGTTGATTCGCTTATTAGCTTATTAAATAGGTTATCTATGTGCTTTTCTATCTTAACTACTTGTGTCTTGAGTTCTGATCAAAATGTTCAAGATATATAGATAGAAACAGAAACTAAGAAAGTAAAGATTAAAGGAAAAAAATGAGCAAAGCTCATATATATTTCTGCCCATTTATTGTGATAAGTAATCAGCTAATAAGTAATTTTGTTTTTTTAGTAAAATACATCGATATAATTATTATACATCATTTAAATAATAATTGTATCGATATATTTTATTAAACAAAATCATTGATTAGTTAAAATAATTAAATATTTGTTAAAAAAAAGGCAGGATTCATTATTTTATTTCTACTTTAAACTTTTTTCTTTTTTTCAAAGAGAGACATTCGATCTCATCGTTAATTAGATTTCTAAAAAAAAGTAACTTTATAATCTACAATATCAACTTCGATTAAAAAATTTTAATTAGAACTCGAGTTACAAGAATTTGAAATAGAAAAAAATGTGTAGGAATCTTCTACTTAATGGATTAAAACATTAAATTTACTTCGCTATTTCGAATAATCCACATGCATGTTGAGTATATGACATACAAAGTGTTTCCATGGCTATCACTGTAGTTATACCACACAAAACAACAAGGAACATATACAATAAAAGTGGAGTAAAATACTTTTGTTGATCTATAAAAACCTCAATCTCGGCTGTAAGATGCCGTATACGAGATTCATTTGTAGTCGTTGCAATGTCCAGGACAAAATTTAATAGAAGCTGTACTAAAATGAAGCTAAAAATAGCCAAATAGGCAAACACTGTAACAATAAAACTAACTCTAAATTGTTTCCAAACCTAGCATGTTGAAAAGTTATTTGAAATGTTGCTTACATGTCGTAAATAATGTAATAAGTCTTCCGATAGCTGAATACTTTTTTATTATTTCGAGTTCATGCGCGTTGCTTAATTCATTCCAGTCGAAACGTACTCGTTCTATCAGGTCTTGCATCTACGTTCAAGAATTCAAAATAATAATTATCCGTCATTTTTTCTAATAAATGTCTTTAAAATATTTTTAAAAGTGTTTTAACATTAAATACAATTACCTTTTTCGTATTTAACCAATGAACGTTATATCTCAATACATAGCTCAACCATGGAACACTATATGCGAGGATCTTTAAAAGAAGCTCCATGCTGTACTCTCTCGTGCAGAAAGTTGTAAACTGAAAGCATTACTTTTTTCCAGATATTTTATCTTTAATAAATTTGATTAATTAATTTCGTTATATTATTGACTTTTAGTTAGAATATCTTTGTAATGATTATAAAGAAATCGTTTAATACATACAAATATGACCATTCTAGGCATCATTGAATTTGTCAGAATTTTATGGGATTAAAATTTTCTTATAGAGAATTTATTTAAATTAATACGATTAATTAAAATTTATTATGCGCTCAGTCTTTACTTGATTTTCCGTTTGTTAATTTTTATATCAAATAATTGTAAATAACAAAATAGTTTGAAAATAATTAAAAATTTTAAAATATTGCCATACCTGAAATATTATGCTAGACATAAGTATTATGATCATTAATGTCACTAGAATACATCTAAAACTAAATCTTTGATATGGCCACAAGCCGATACATAGTAACAAGTTTCGATTAATAATGTAATAACTATCCGCCGTACAAGTCATTTCGGTACAAGTGCAACAATACATCTGTGCTATATTTTGTCTAGAAACATCCTTTCTATACCTCTGGCTAACATATTATATCATAATTTTACATTTTCCACGTTTATTTTTGTTTGCAAATATCGTGCAAATATTGTGCATTAATGTCAAAATTATAAAATTCTATAATATCAAAAAATTACAAAATTGTGTTGAATAACTGGTTCAAAAAATTATGCTTTTATCTTATATATCTGACTAAAGCATTCACAAGTTTGGGAAACCTAATATGTTACCACTTACAAAGTATATTACGAGTTATTTCTATTCTATTATCTACCATTGCTTCTTATATTCGATCGACGCAAGCGCAATTACAACTCCGTTTTCACGCATTTTCAATGCTTTATCAGTCCTATTTGAGACGTGAGACATCGTGGTACTTTCCTTCGACGTATATATGTAACTAATTATAGACATACTAAATTAAGACCAGTATTGATAGTCGGTTCTTATTTCAAAACCTTAAGTAACGTATTAAGATGTGAATACGACTCTGTAATTTTTTATGATATCTTAAAACTGTATTTAAAGACTTAAATTTTAACTATATTTATTTCTATTTCAAAAAACATTAATTTTAATATACAGTATTATACGACTCTAATAAGAAAATGCCAAAATGATATGATTAACGCAATAATATTTGCTAGGCATTAATTATTTTAACAAAAACAATTAATATATTTCGTCATTTTTGTTTTTATGTATATATATATATAACGCATGTTGTGCTCTGAAAAGTGATACAACCTGAAAACAATTTTTTTTCCTTCTGCTTTTTATTCAAAAATATCCGAAATCTCACATTTTTGATAAACATTTTTATAACAACATGGAAACTGCATTCACTACATGAAATGAAAAAGGAATGTAAACGCTGGTATGTTTATTGTAAATGTAAACCGGTGTTTATACAAATTCTTTTGTATATATATTTTATTTCAATATTTTATACTTTTGATGTATGTTTTTTTGGTATTCTCTTACATACGTATAAATTTGTGCATGTATAGATGAGTCAAAATTGTTCAGAATTGTTTTCAGCCTGAATAAATTATAATAAATTATATATCGTGTAAAAACAAAAAAGAGACGGTATGTAGTGTTTAATAAATTAAAATAATATTTATGGTGTTTTAATAAGCACAATATTTAATGTAATCATACTACAGTGAACATAAGTAATAGTAATCATATCTATATGTGAATTATAATTTTTCGTTGCAAGTAAATTCGTATTTTGATGATTAATCAGCACAGTTATTTTGAAGGAAACATTCGTTTGCGGTATTACGCATATATCATCCAGAAGAACATTAACGTATTGACAAAAACATTGTAAAATAAGATAAGGAGCAGCTCACGAGCTGAAATATAAATCATTTATTAAAATTAATCCTATTTATAAAATTGTTGTATTAATCTTCTTCAATGCTATGGACATATCAGTAAATAGTGCATTGTGAGTTTTATGGACATATAACATATTTATTACACATATGTACGTCCAGTTTTAATAGTAAGTAAATATTCAGTATTAAAAAGATTAATATACCGTCGCAAATAAGGTATCAAACTTGATTTTTATTAGCAAATTTAATTAAACTTTAATTTTAAAACTGTTATTTATATGTACATAATTTTTATTTTTTTTTTATTATAATATTTAATAAAAATGAAATTTATGTATAATTAAAGGCACTGTTTATGTATTACAGTTTAATTTCTTGTAACATAATTATTACAAACAAATTATAAGTAAATTGTGGAAAAATATAGTTTAAAATTAGGTGAATGTTTTGTTACATTTGAAATCTACTATTATTTTACTAAATCATACATTTATTTTTTATATAACACTTACCGAAGCAAAAAATTCAAGTGATCCATTGAATACACTATACATAATAAATTTAGAACTTTTTATGCTTCTTTTCATCATAAATTGCAGTAGTTTTTGTAATGGAATAGGGACAGAATACCAAGGTAATTCGCATCTAGACAGCAAAATTTAGATGAATTTATTCTTAAAACATGTTTAATGTGTCATATATTCATAATAGAAATATATTTTAATCAATATAAATAAAATCAATAACTGCAGTGTTTGATCTTTGACAAGTATGCAATAAAATCATATATGTATAATTATTATTCTAAAATTCTACGTATATATTTTTTATTACTTCAAAAATTATATATAAATTTGATAATACAAAATTGTTATTGTAGAATTCTACAAAAAAATAATTGAAAAATAAAAATATTGCAAATAACATACATTTTGTAAAATATGTCAGCACTGCAGTTTGTTACCATCTGCGCCGTAAAATTGCCCAAGAACATGTAAATAAAGTGAACGATGACAAATATTGCAATCAGAAGTAACTCTTCAATTTCTTTCTTGAATCCTGCTAGAAAAAGCTAATATGCACGAGAAAATGTTTTATATCATAAAATTTTTATTTCTCGTATTATATTCAACAATGCATAATAGAAATGACTTAAATTTTTACCATAAAAGTATACTTTAGTGACAAGCTGTGATTTTATTATTTTGTCATAATATAATGTATATATATATGCAATAATAATATGTATATATATATGCAATAATAATATGTATATTGTAACTATCAGGATTGGAAAGTAACTTAAGTAACTTACGTGTAAAGTCCTTATCATTATTGTTACTTTTTTGCTAACAATAGTTACTTTTTTAAAAATTAACAACACAAAATTTATATGTATATAAACAATAACAAAAACATTCTAACTAATAAATAGTTATAGACTCTTTAGATTAATTATCAAGATATTATTTTGCGATGCACAATATCTTGTTGCCGTAAAGGGTGGAATTGTTTGCTGAAGATGACTCGAAATAGAGTTGAAACGTTCAATGTTTATATGTTAAATATTATATTTGATTATTATTAAAATTATCGCTATTGTTCAATCAGCGTTGACTCCTATAGCCTTTTTACATTGTATACATTGTTTTAAATTTTTTTATTATATGTATATACATATATAATATGCATACATGTATATACATATATTAAAATAAGTTTATTATAAAAGAAGGTTACTATACAGCAGAGACTAGTTTAGAGTTTTATCTACATAAATCCATTCTAATGACTTTAACAAGTAGCGAGCACCGCAAAATGTCAATGACTTTGACCACCTTGAAGGTCAAGGTCAACATCAAAGTCAGTCAAAAGTCATTTAGGGCTAGCTATGCAAAGGTAACCATGTTTTACCATTAGTTCTGTTTATAAAAAGTAACACGTATGTTACTGTTATAAAGGAACATTCCAATCTTGTAACATATTGTACAGTTAGCACTTACGCGAAACATGTTGATACTTAGAGAAGACGTGCCTAATATAAGTAAGAGGAAGAAAGATGTTTCGAAGCAGGAATTTAAAAAATCAAAGAACCTTTAATAATATTTTAAAATTAATGGTATTTTCATGAATTTATAATATTATAATATATCGTTCATTCTGAGTGTGCGATTATTTCATTTTAATTTAATTTACAATTTGGAATTTCCCTCCTCTGATCTTCTTGTATAGTGTTTTTTAAATATTAGTAACATATATACTGCTACGTACTCGAGAGCTCTATTATGACTGATTACTGCATTGACAATATTTGTGTAATATATTTTATGTTTTTCTGCAGAGATTTGTATTTCGCATTCAAATGCATGTTTTATGCGTAAACTATAACAGTAAAACGTATTCATGCTGATAATTTTACATATATAAATGCAATGAGAAATATGAAAATGTAAAATTGACGTAGAATTAAATTAAAACGTACTTTAATATATGCTATATGTTTTAGTTGCAAAATTAAATTTTTTAATATATCAATTTAATTCTTTGTCTCGATCATTACCTAGTAATTTTGAATAGCCCACAAGCATGTTGTAAATATACCAAGGTCGTTGTTTCCGTAGCTATTATGGTAGATGATTCTACCAAAAGTGCTATGATCATGTGCATCATTATTGGTATGAAGTACTTTTCTTGATCGAAAAAAAACGTAGCTAAACCCAAAAGTTTAAGTGGCCGTGATTCGTTTAAGGGTAACACTATGTCAAGGAATTTGGGTAATATTTGTATCATTACAAATATGCACAGACTTGAATATAGAATACCTATAAAATCAATCAAGATATAAAAGTAAATTATTTACAGTTACAATATATATATGTATTTACAATGTATATATAATATATATTTTCTTTTAATTAAACTATTAAAGCTTTAAATAAAAAATTCCAGTAAAATTAAAGTTATATTAGAAAATATCTAATCTCAACGTTTGTGTAGCTATCACATGTTAAAGAGTTTTGTATACACACAATACACACACATGCACGCACGCACGCACACATACATACCTGTTACCATAATAGTCAATAATTTTGTGATGTAGGAGTATTGTTGTAAAATTTTTAATTCCTCTTTGCATTTTGTTGAATTCCAATGATAGTTTATTTCATCTATTAATTTCTTTATCTATTGTTAATAATTTATTTTTATATATGTTATTATATATAAATTTTGATATACATATTTTTTAAATAAAAATAAGAACAAATACAATGTAGAAATACTTAAATGCAATATAACGTAATATGTATAAAATAAAAATTTTTAACATTTTTTGTATAAAATATCTTAATTGCATTAAAATTACATTACAAAAGATATACAACATTTATAATATTTGAAATAAATATAATGTAAAAAAATGTAAAACTCTCACATCTTCAGATCTTATACAGAATGTAGCATATTTTAAAGTGACCACTAGACAAGGTACGGCAAATGACAAAACATGAAGAAGATTTTCTAAATTAGATCCGCTTGTTATAATCTTTCCTATCTATAATAATATACATACTTTATTAAGAGAGAGAGAGAGAGAGAGAGAGAGAGAGAGAGAGAGAGAGAGAGAGAAATCTTGATCATTTATTCTATTATACATATACATATATATATTCACACTTGTTAATTACTATATATATATTTTTTTTATAGTATTAGGTTCAGAAATTTTGATTCAGAAAATTTATTTCAAATCTTTTATGTTAGTATAAAATATTTTACTTAAAAAGTAACTTTATTGAAACAAATAATTTGTACCGCTTTTTGAATTTTGGAAGCTTCCAAAGATATGAATTTTTTGTTCCAAAGAAAATGGAACATTTGTCCTCATCTAATCCGTATTCCCGATTTTGCCTCGTCTAAATTATTTCTCTCCTTAAAAAATTTTTTTTTAAATAAAGTTTGTGTTTTTGAAATTTTTATTTATCTCTATCATTTATTTGACAGCAAGAAACCTTCAATAAAGCAAAAGGATATCATGCAGCTATTCGAGCAAAATTTATTGATCAAAGCGGTATGTATTTGATTTAGTAAAGTTTTGAGTAAAATATTGTGCGTCCTGAACTTACATAGAAGATTTGAAACGAATTTTCCGATTATCCTAATATATACACACATCAACACACACACTACACACACAACACATACATACACACCACACATGTAGATAATACAGAATTAATAGACGCTTAAGTTTTTCTGAATCACATTTTATGTAATTTTGTTTAAATGTCAGAATTATTAAAACAATTGTCTACTTGTTGCACAATACTGCACAAGTAATTTTGTTATTATATTGTATAACGGTTTTATATTCAAGTTATTTAAATGTAATGAATGTAAGAATACCTGTAGGAGTATGGAAAATAAAATCAGAATGGAGAAAAATATTCTTTGAATACGTTGATACATCGTATTGTTATATGGCCATAAACCAAGTACGTTTAATAGTATTTCTTGCAATCTGTAACGTTTGCTGAAAGATTTCATCTTTACACGAAAGCTGAAGTACGATTATTCCGAAAGGTGCCGAGAAAGACCTCAATTTTTCTCATCATATTTTATTCAAGATTTCTACTTTTTGCTTTTAAAATTTTATCATACATTTTTTGTGTTATTATACGAAATAATGATAACTATAGATACTAAATAACAATAGAAAAGTTTATGTATCATACTGCTGAGAAAAGAAGGTATAGTGTGTCATTAGATACAATTTATTTTCCAGATAATGTAACTGTCGCGAAAATATTAGTGGCAAGACAAAAATTTGTTTCGCAAAGTGTGCAGATAAATTAATAGTACTCAAAAGAAAAAATGCTTTTTTTCTCTCTAAAAGTTGACGCAGGCGCATTTATTATTTTGCGTTCTTCTTAACGATCGTTCTTCAGTTTTATTCGAGTGGTCGTAGACGTTACTTTAATCCTGCTGCACAATTGAGTGAATAGTCAGTTTCTGTATAATAAACGCAAATAATTCTTCACTTGATCAAAGCTGAATAAAAGAAAGACTGAGATTCCGGAAGCAAGGTTATCACTATGGAACATGACTTTAATAGAATTTTATCGAAATAACACATTGTGTTATTTAAATTCGTTTCATTTCTATGTTATATTACTCGTTTATTTTTTACATTACAAATTGTTGAATAATAAAATTTTGAAGTTGATAGTTTAATGCTTTTTTTAAGCATTATTCATTGTATTATAAATTTTATAATTACTGTGTAAACTTTGTAAGCAAATATATTTGTGTGTGTATATATATATATATATGTTATACTTAAAAAAGTTTATACATATATAAAAATGTTTTTTTTATTTTTGTAGAAAAAAATAAATTTTTAATTTTTATAAAAAAAATATAAATTTATATTTTTTTTCTTATAAAAATAAGTAAATTATTTAAATTCAACATGTTAATTAATAGTGACATGATATCATTGTTTAATTTTACGCTGAATAATATAACTTACATGCAATATGTATTGTGTTACATTTGTATTATTGAATTTATTAGTTGGTAAACTAGGAATATATTAGCAACAAATTTTTTGAGTCTATACTAAATGGAGAAACATTTTAATTCGACCAATTGATTTATTATCATTTTTAGAGATAATTAGATAATAAGATAACATTACGATAAAAAAGTGGCAAAATAACTTAATTATATTAAAATTAGAAATTATTTTTATTTTTGAACTATAATAACGCTTCGTGGAACTAAATAATAAAATCATAACATGAATATAATCACAAAATAATAGATTTCTTATTTTAAAATATTATAGTTATATGCGCAAAGAAAATGTAGGAAAATTAAATATATAAGAATAAAGAAAGAAAAAAAGAAAGGAAAATTTGTTCTTACTAATTTTTTTTTAAATAATGATAATCATACACTTGTTTGGTTACGAAAGAAGTTAAAAAATTAATTTATGGAGATACAGGTTGTGTTCCAAAATTTACAGCCAGTACTAAAAATCTATAGTTCACGTTACGTGCACTATAAATTTTCAATACTAGCAGTAAATTTTAGAACATAACCACAATGTACACAACATTTTAATAATTTCACATTTGCATTTCATCAATATATGTTATAGCGTAATGCAGTGAAAAATAATTTTTTTGTTACAAGGTATAAATATCGTTAATTATACCTATATATTTAATGAGATTCACTAATGTTAGGTAGAAAGTTCAAATCGTAATACTAAGTGTATAGCATATTAATTAATAAATCTCTCGCATATATTATAATACATAAAAAAATAATATCAATAAATATTATATTATTACGTGCAAGATTACATTTACAATATAACAATTGTAATTATATAGACAATACCTATCTTGGACGGTTGTAATAAGGAAAGTAATAAGGAAAGTATCCCCCTTCTCAATTTTAATGGAATATAATAAATATTTCAATTTCAATAAGTATATAGTGACAGTAGTTATTATTATTTTTGTATTGAACAGAGAACAGTAAAATAAGAGAGTGACATACTCGCAAGCTAGAATAAATAATTAATTTTTTATATTTTTATTAAGTAAGTATTAGGCTCGTTCAATCAGAATTACATAATTTCAAAAAATTTTAATTACCATTGTAAAACCTTCTAATGATGGATTGTACAAACCACCGACATCTATGTGATAACTTTTTATGGTTTTTTGTATAATATATAATATTTGTTTTTGTGTTTTCAAAGGCGCATTGTACCACTGTATGCTACATCTTTAATTAAAAAAATATGTTATTATATGTATGTATAACATATTATTTTACTTGTGTTACTTACATTTTTTTGTAAATATCCGCGTCATGATCTATAAATTGCTGTCCAACATAATTAGTTAAAAACATATACATTAAATGGCAAATGATAAGTGTAATAGCTCTTACGAAATCATCCATCGTGCTAGTTGACATTATTACTTGGAAGAGCTATCAAAACAAGATAAGTTTATTGGCAAGTCAATTCACATTCTTCATGTTGTCATACATACTCTATTACTTTTGTTTTTATTTTTTAATAAAATAATTGTATTACCAGAAATAGATTTACGCTTAATGAAGGTATTCCAAGCAATATTAAACCTAAATAAGGAATCACAAAAGTTGATTTAATGATTTCGGAAAATCTTTAAAAAATGCGAAATATATTATATTTATAAAAGATTGCGAATTCTTATCTTCTCTTTAATAATAGTAATAAAATAATTTATAAGAAATAAAGATATTTATTTTTAATCAAAAGGAATAAATTATCTATATCCTGCTAGAAATAATTATAGTTAAATCGGCATCGACTTAATCATTTTTAACATAAAATTATTTTACCGTAAAATTATTTTATACTGTTATAGAATAAAATGCAAAATTAATGAATTTGTATAGATTACTATCATAAGGGAGACCGGGGCTCCATGAGTCACGGAATACCACGGGTCATATGAGCCATCTATTGTACTTAGGTCGCGTCACGCGTTTACACCGTGACGACCTGTTTTAGGTGAGGCCGTTAAAAAACGCGGCCTGACCTAAAGCTAGATTGAGTCATCTCTCAAGTGTTTAAAGCACGAGACCTAAATAATTTAGGTCGAATTTGGGGTATAGGTCGCGGACTAAGCACACGGTGTAAACGTAGCCATTGACTGTTTAGAGAAATCCAGAATGCTTAGGTTGATACAATTGGTATCATATGATTGTTATTTAGTTGCCCATACTATAATATGCATCTAGATGGCAGTGATTCACTTCCGTTATCTTTCCAGACACATGCTGTTAAAGAATCTAGAGGTACGAAAGTGATTATTTTACCTCTCAAAACTTCTTATACGTTGTGTTTCTACAAAGTATAATATACTTATTACAAGTTACATACGTAATTCTACACATCTTTCCGCATTTTCTCTGCAGTGCAGGTAATCATTTATTGTTTAGTCCGATGTTTTACGCGTATCTTTTGTGATAAAAATATAATTGCATAATTTCTTTCGATTTATATTTAAAAAACAAATCAATATTTATGAGAAATGTTCAATAAATCTTAAAATATACATTATCTTTTAATTATATGAAAAATTTGAGACCAAAAATCTTACATTTTAATGTATTTTTTACTGTTTGAATTTTTATACTCATGATGCCCTGCTCTTCCCTATATAATTTTTTTCTCCTGTATTATAGTAATAGTTAGATAATAATAATTAATAGCTAAAGATAATCAAAAATAAACATTTTTTTATATATGTATACATATATATGTGTGTGTATAAATATATAGTATACGAGTATGCTAACACGATAACTCTCTTGTGTTTAATAGGACAATTAATTTCATAAAATTATTGTGCATTTTTTTTGAAAAGGGAAATTTTTACAGTGCAATTAAAGGCACGATGTTGCATAATCAACATGTGTTAAAAGAAACAATTAAAGATATATCATCATACTTAGCTTCCATTGTTTTATGTTGACGAATATGTTTTAAAAGTTATGATTAAAAATCAATAACCGTAAGTAATTAAGCCATAAAGACCAAATCAAGCTCAGTTACCTACAAACTACATTTTTCAATAGATTACATTGTATAAATTATATATCATCGATAGTAATCTTTTTCAGAAATACATATTTATTCATAATATTACAATTTTATTGATTGATACAGTAAGAAGATAATTTAGACAGCACATAGTAGATATTACTACTGTATAAACTAAAATAGCAAAATATATAGTTTAATTAATAAAATCAGAAAACATTTTTTAAATCTAAATTCTGTTTTTTTTTAATTTATTAATTATATTACTAATATTATTTATATTAATACCTATTTATTCAAAATAATAATAAAACAGCATTTTAAAGTATTAGACATTATAATTATATGGAGCGAAGGACCATAAAATAAGAAATAGACATACTTATACCCTAAAATAGAGAATACTTTTTAAATTAATTCATGTGATAATTAATTAAAACACATACACGCATACAACGCACGCACATATGCATGCACATGTAAAAAGAACACGCACTACGCTCAGGCGCATGCATAATACGTTTTAATTTAATAAGATCTCTTACTGTGGCAAAACCTTCCAAACAAGGACTAAACATACCACCGGCATCAACCTTGTAACATTTTGTAGCTTTTTGTATCAAAAAAAGTATCAATTTTTGTACTTTCAACGGGGCATTATACCATTTCGTATCGCATCTGTACATAGTTACAAATAAAATAGTAAATGTCAGATAATATGTAGTATTTATTGCATAATTTACGGAATAATATGTAGTTATTGTGAAAAAAATTGATAGCAATGTGTAACTTACATCGTACGATAGATATGCGTATCACAATTTATAAATTCTTGCCCAGCAAAATTACCTACAGTGAAATAACAAAAATGCAAGACCAATAAAAAGAAAGGTATAATAATTTCCAAAATTTGTTTTTCCATTGTTATCAT